TTTCTTCGATTTTTTCTACATATATATAAATTAATGTGTACATATAGTAAGTGTATGTATGTAAGTAATTTTTATGCATAAAATATTTAGCTAGAGATGGGCAAAGTTCATTTTAAAGATGTATTATTTTACTTTTGGTATTTCATTCTGTTTTCACTAAAACTGTGCTAATTCATTTTATAGGTATGGCAACATTATGCATTTGAAGTTTACAAATTATTTAGCCAAAATAAAAAAGAATACATTGGTAGTATTAGAGCGTAATATATCAAAAAACCTGTTTCATATTTGTGACAAAAGTTTTAAAGATGTACTTATGTAAGATATGTGCCGCATAAAAACAATGCACGAAAATTCAATTTCGTTGTTACACTTGCAGCGCATAATAGCGGCTTTTACGTGTTTTGTGGCAGCAATATCCCAACAATTGGCTTTTATTAAATTAAATTAGGTGCCTAATGTTTTCTTGTACAACTTTTTATATTATAATATATTTTTTATCATAAATTAAACTCAATTTCGTATTGTCTGTTTGTTTAAATAACCCATCAAAGCCTGCAACCGCTTTTTAATGTTCTTTTGATCGTCGAGCGTGCAGCCTAATAGTGCGCTCTCGAATTTCTTATCCACCGGCCCAGCATCCATATCCACACCATATTCATATGATGATGACGCTTCCGCTGCACTGCAGCAAGCATTCAGGTATTGTTGGCAACGTTGGCGTGACAACACTGGGTCGCCAATAGTAATCATCATATCGATCAGTGCATTGATTTGACTCAGCGCATCCTCCTGCGAACGATCGCGCACCGTATGTACCAATAAATCGACTGTGGAGAGACGCGCGTTGACTCGTTGTATGTAGCAGAAGATTTCCTCACGTTCCGCTACAAAGGAAATAATAATTTATTAAATGTTTCTTGTAATTTATATGCAAGGGTTTACCTTCCATCATGGATTGCAGCATATCGTGACTCTTGATCAAATCAATGGACATGAGTAGGAAGTCTTTCTTTTCCTGCAAGCCCAAGGCATCTTTACGGAATTTCTCGACGCGCGCATCCAACTGATCCAACACTGAAACAAATCTAAATTACAAAAAATTATTATTTTAGTTTACTGATATTAATGGTGAATTTTTTTTTCTAAATTCAAATATATTAAGTATGTAATTGGAAAAATTATAATTGGAATTACCTTTCGTTAAGGTTAAAGGGCCTGTTTAGCATTTTGTTATATATTTTAATTGCGATGAGACAATGGAGTAATTGATATTATTTGGATTTGTTGGTAATTGTGATTTGTTGTTTGATTGGTTCAATAGTACATCAAGTTACATATATAAATACATAAAAATAAAAAGAAATAAAATAATTATTCGTAAAGGTTAATAAGTAAATTGAGTGCCACACCACAATTAGCAACTACTTAAATATATGATATTTTTAAGTAAAAAATTATAGAAAAACGTCAACTTCTTCTGCACCGAAACTTTAATACACTTCACAAGTGCATTTCTTACAGCATAAAAGGGTATAAAAAATATTGATTTTGGACACTAAAAAGTGCAGTCGATTGCATTAAATTACGCATACATACATGCTTGTAATACGGTCAAGATAAAAGTAATCTTTACAAGCCAAATTTAAATTAAGTGCATATAAAGCTTTGCACTACGGAATTATTGCATCAACAAGTTTTCATAGTGAAGAAATAATCTTTACACGAGAAACCGACAATAACTAAATTACTTTTTACAGCATTTACAAACTTAACAAACACATTTCGAAGCACATACAATATATTTCCAAGAGTTACTCGCGTTCAGGTGCCCTTATACGGACTTTTGAAAACGAAAGTGTGCACAATGTTTGCACGGGTACCTGCGAAACTTCTTAATCACTTGTCTATTAATAGATTATGTATATGCACTTATTTAGAGTTTTCTCGCCCACACGCTATATTTTATTGCTGAAATAGGGCAACTGGTTGCTTACTTTTGTTTGAAAAGTACTTTAAAAACCTAACATTTTTCACAAAAATTTCTTTTTGGCGAAAAACATGTTTGACAGACACACTATAGGTATATAACTACACAGTTTTTAAGTGTTTTTGTTTTTTATGTATGTAAATACACTTGAATAACAACCTGTCCAATGCTTTACTGTCATCCACATATCCATAGCTCTGCGTTGATGAAGCATTTACATCTATGCCACCGCCAGCAACGTCACTAAAGTGACGTGAGGTTTCCGGAAGGCTTACATGGCCGCCTAGTGATGATGCTGATGATGACGCCCTTGCCGCAGCGTCATTTAGACCGTGCAAATAATCAAAATTCATTGATGATTCCGACTGATAGCCTGCTGGGTTATCTGAGTACTCCTGTGGTGGTGGCACAGGAGTGGAATCAATGTCCATATCTTCTCCCTGAGACGTGGTGAAAGCTTTTTTTAGCGTTAAACGCTCAAACAAGGAAATTAAAATAAATCAGTGCGTCTTTAGTGCAGGAACTGCGAAATAATAGAATATGTAGTGCGACAATTGCTGACTATTGATGTTATTGGTTGTTATTTCTCTACACGCAGTCACCGTGTATATCTCGTTGTTATTATTTATTTTGTTGCTTTTAAAACGCCTACTATCGTTGGGGTTTGTATGCCTATGAATTGACCAAAATCTATCGTATGGACGCTTTACGTTTTTTTTGTTTTCGGTGTGTGTTTTCTTGTTTTTGTACGTCCCGAATCAGTTGTGAATGTTTTTTGTTTTTGTTTCAAATTTACACTTGGAATGTTGTCTTTTGGCTTTGTTTGAGATATTAAATAATTTTCTTAAAATATTTTATCTCTTCTTGTATAGCCAGCCTCTATAGTTTACGCGACGTAATGTAATGAACGTCGAAAATACTGGAAAGATATTAAAAAAGAAATAAATAAATAATTAATCTTTAATTACCTATCAATGGAGCAGAGTTCTAGTGATGGCAGTGTCAACAACGACAAGTCGTTATCGACAGCACCACTGGAATTCGTTGTGTTTAAATGCGGGACGGCAGTACAGACGGGTGTGGAGAAGGAAGAACCACTTGATGTAGTTGTGGCTGCGGTATTGTTTGTTGTATTAAATAATGTATTCCAATAGTCATCTGCGTTAGCTGCTCGTTCGGCTGGCCCTGGCGTTGCTACGTCCGGTACATTATCGAGGCGGCGACGCTTTCGAAGCATACTGAGAAAGTTGTCAAACATTACGCGAAATATGAAAAAGCGGACGGAAAGTATTCTGGATTTTGGCACGTCTATTTTCTTTGACGTACTCAAACAAAACCGAAATAAATGTATTGTTTCAAAAATATAGAGGTACGCAGCGCGAAATGTGGCGTCATTTCATAAGGTGACATTCAAATTGAAATTCAATTTAGCTGCTTCTAACATTTTTTAAGAAAATATTTGTTTCAACAGGTTAAATATTAAACTTTATACATGTACATACATATATATATGTATGTTATGAATATGTGTGTTGGTTTTTGTTGTTATGACACATGTGAATATTCGAGACCAATGTCACGGACGTTGGTTTCCTTCGAAATTCTGTTTACATGAACTTGCATCAAGATAATTTTTATTTCAACGAAGGTACTCTTTTTTAACTATCAGCAATATTAATTTATATACGCAACGCGAAACTTTTAGTAAATTCTAGAAAATATTATGAAAATAATATATATCTCAGCAGCACATATTTGTTTCATTCGACAATTTAAAAATATACGACTCGGATGATTTCATACACATTTCCACTTTGCGCAAAATTTAGGATACATTTGCTTTCCCGAATTTTCGAGTTATTTACGTTTTTTTTACCACGCGCTACATAATGAGATAAACGCGAGAAAAGATATTTCCATGATAATATAATAAAGTCTTATGCGTAATGTTTGTTAACAAAGCACTCCGATAATCGACATGATTCTAGAACCCGAATAAAATTTAATTGTTCGTTCCCTTCCTTCTCCACTACCTTTGGACTGCTTATTTTTATTCTGGCTGTCATTAAAACAACTTTATACGAATAGGGAAATGAGCGGCATATTTCGCTAATTACCTGAGTGAATGAAAAAGCAATAGTCTGCCCGTTTCACATAGACAAATTTGGTGTAGGGAACTGGGATCGTCTTCAGATTTTCAACAAATGTCCTTTCTGTGTCCTTCGTGTACCAAACACGCTCTATTCTTTCTATGAAATGTATGCACAAAATTATTCTATACGCATTTATTCATTTTTCGTTTGCAGTATTTCAGAAAATTTTCAGCGAAAATTTCTGGTGTTTTTCCACAAACCATTTGACAAAAGCTAAATTCCTTCTCCTTTTTTCAACTGCTTCTTTTTGATGTTTTCTGTTTACTGACTTTTGACTTTATCTACACTTTTCAGCTCTGCACTACGTATAAGCTATTGAAGGCAAAAATCCAAAACCTACGACAAAGCGGTGCCGGTTGCCGAAAACACTTTGCTTTTATTACTCGAATGACATTCAATGAACAACCAATTTATATTTTACCAAATTGCAATTTTTTTACGTTTATTGTTTTACTTGCTTGCTTTTTGCGGTTGCTTACTAATTTGGATACTGTTATATGTCAAAAAAAACTAAAAATTTACATGAGTGGGCTGAATTGTTTTTTCCCTGCTGCTTCGTCTAAGCAGTTAGTTCACAATAGCATGACATCTCATTGGAAGAAATGTAGTGGCATTGCCAGATACAAATGGGCCGCACAAGTTTATAAAAAAAATTTTATTTAACATGCCAGTTTTAACGAAAGCTATAAATTGGGAAAAACTACTTTACAACAACGGTTCTTTTTAATTTTCTTTTCAGTTTATCAAAAAGTAGTAGAAATATTGATATTTGTTTGCAAATGGTCGCATGTTAAAAACTTAATATCGTTGCAACTCTGTGCCTTTGTTGTTATTGTTTGGAAAACAACGGAGGAAAAGGAAATGAAAAACAGTTACGTTGAATTCTTTCTGTGCAAATAAAATCTCTAAAATGTTTTCTTTTCATTTTTATGTGAAATGAGAGTGGAAAGTTGTGAAATTTAATAAAATTGTGAATTTTGCTTATAAGTGAGTGTGAGTTTTAAATGAGAGTGTGAAAAGTGTTGTGTTCTTCAATTTCGGTTGGATTTTTGGTATTCCTGCACGGCCGCCATTGCGAGGTAATTTGAAAGAATTTGAAGAAATGCGCTTGCCCGGGCACAAACAAATTCTTATAGATATACATCTATAGCGTTTAAATTGTCTATTTTATTTGTAATCCTGGTTTATAATAATAAATTAAAGTAAAACAATAATAAATTTTCTGGTGGCTTATGCACGCTACCAATCATGGTCATGCTCGCAGCAGGCTCGCAGCAGGCTCGTCCTGCCAATAATCCGATTGGTGTTGTTTATTTTTATATACATATGTATCTGTAAACTCTGATGCATTTGACTAAAATCCTTACCTATTAAGTTTTTTCTCCGAAGTTAGTCATAGTTTCGTTTGTTTATTATTGTTTGGCGCTTTAGCCACGAAAAAATTAATGCATTTACATTTAATGTTTTTACGCTTTTAATTCCCTAAACCCGCACAGAAATATAGTTAAATAAAACACAGTATAACGAATTTTGCTTTAAAACTTTATATGTATTGTGTATATATATTTTTGAATAAATTTTTTATATTTTCGCAGTTTGCTTTTTTACATTTTACGATATTTCATTATGCATTCACTAAACAAAATAATTAAATTCATTTACTAGCTTTTAACGCCTCATTTAATTCATTTATGTATTTAACATTATTTTTGTTTTCATTTTATTATAATTAACTTAAATAAATGTATTTGAATGTCTTTTTAATTTGCATATTGTTAGCAACTTGCTTTTCATTGTTTAGTTGTGTAAATTTATTCAATTTAAGTATAGTCTGTATTTACTAAATATGTAAATGTATGTATAATGTGCACTTTTCATTGAAAAAAATTAAATAAAATATTATTCGTGTATACGCGTATATTAGGCAACAATCAAATACAGTACGCAAATATCGTAAAATTTTCATTTATTTAAATTACATTCTCTTGGCATTAAAAGTTTCTATCTTTTCACTTATAAATATAGTTTTTGTTATTGTTTTTTTTTTAAATGTATGCATGCATTTATGTATATGTATATGTATAAGTATATTTTATATATGGAAGTTGTGCCTCGTTTCTTGTCGTTAATAGTTTTATTTAATTTTTACGCTTTATTTTTGTTTTTCGGAATTTTTTCTATGCTCAACAAATTGTACTAAATACATTAGAATATTTGTATGTATAGATGCATATAGGTAAACGTTTACTTTTAATTTTAGGAGCATACTTATATAATAGCAGTTAAATTATTATTTTTTGAATAAAATGAATTTAATATAAATTTCGGCTAAACAGCAAAATTGCACATTTCCACTTGCCAGTTACAGAATTTTGTTGCACTGTTAAAACTTTTCATAATTTTTTTTAGTATATTTAATTATTTTTTCTAGTTTCTGTGCATTTTTTTCACATACACATATCAACGCTTCTTATACACTAAATGTATGTATGTACAGTTTTGCTTTAAATGTAAATAAGTACGTTGTATTGTAAGTATATTTAAATGTATGTATGTATATTTGTGTACCACGAGCTTGCACTTTCTTGTAATAAAATAAGGCATTTTATTTAAATTCTATACGCTAATATTCAATATACCTAGCTCAACACCTACATACACTCGCCGGTAACGGTAACTAGCTTATTTTTAACACTTTTTATTAAATATATATGCAGCGCAGGTTTTTACAAGGCAACATGTGCTTTGCTAAGCTTCAGCAGAAAAAATTTAAAATATTTAACAATTTTATTTTGTTTTGCGGCAAAATATAGAAGCATACATAAACTTAATTTTAAATGACTTCAATGTTGCTACATCTCACATAAATTGT